TTCTAACTTTTCAAAGTGTTTTTCCGCTTGTAGTTCTTCATCATAACCTACTAACAGCTGAGTACTTTTTTTTAACAACTCTAGATCCTTATTATATACCAAACTTTCATATTGTAATCGAGCCTACCATGTTGTTTAATAATGGATATTTTTTATGCACTTTGCACATCAAAGCTCTGCATTGATGTTTGCACATGTTTCTTTTCACAACCTACGAACAATCACACGAAGGCAACATAGAATAACAATTTTAAACAATGTACTTATTTACTTCTATGTTGCCTTCTAATATTGGACATGTTACCTCAGCATAATTTGACTTTGAGGGATTTGGAAACGTGATTTGAATACAACATAAATAACATATCATTATTTATGATCAAAACACAATTTATAGCAAAATCATACAAATTTTTACCTTAGCGTACTTCATTTCATTTTTGCTGCCCATACACTGGAGATAACAACTTCTTACTTTATTCAATTGACTACTAATCCCATTGACTTTATACAAATGTTATGAATAAAAAAAGCCAGCATGCTTTCAAAAAGCATGTTTAATTATTTGTCCAAACAACGATCTTTCAAACCACCTATCATTCTTTAAATCATTATTTTCATGGTTTAATGCTAGCTTCTATTGCCCCATTTGTCATCTATTTTGCGTGATCAAAATTTTGACAAAACATCAATCATTTGTCCGTGAAAGCAATACACAAAATATATGTTAAATAATTAATTTAAAAATAATAAAAACATAACTTATGAAAATAACGGAAAGATAACATAGATGGGCTAAATCAAGTCACCTCATAGAAATACTATTCATATTCTTGTAATACATTCTTCTTTGAACTAATTCACAAACTCAGTTTCTGAAACAAATCTAGTTTGAAATTGCATCCAACGTGACCACATCAAAATTTCACTATTAGCATATATTATTTCTCCAAGAACATATGACAATTCTAATATAAGTTTTTGGTTTTTCACTTTCTAGATCAAATTTTTTTTCCATGCTCTCTGCAAAAATATAAAATGTGAATTAGATTTCAATATGTAAATACCACTAAAATATATCTCTATATACTCTAAGCGTTATACATGTGTCTGCATATAAATCATTGTATGAAACAAAAAACATCTCAAAATTACCTTCAAATGTGCAATGTACAGAATATGATTAGAACATTTGAAAATACAGATATCAATGCAGCCAACTCTTGAGTAGCACAATCAATTATAAAACAGCTTGGTTTTTAATCAGACTTCAACTTTAATGCTGCCCTATGAATCTTTTGCAAAAAATTCACTATCAACTGTGTAATTTCTTTTTGTTGAATGCTCCACACAAAGGGCAATCCCATTTAATGACGATGAAATGCAATAAGTGCAAAAAAAGGAAAATTACATTATAACAACACACAAGATATAATTAGTCATAAAAAATTAAATGAACTATGCAATATGTATAAATGAAAAATTTATAACAAAATGAGCAATAAACATGTCATCTCTATGACTCATTTCATTACACAATGTCATAAAAAAAATCAACAACTCAATCAAAACTTACGTCATATTTGATTATCGAAAACTTGTTATGTAACGCCAGATGCTTATTTTGAGAATAATGAGTCATCATCCCTAATTGCCATTTCGATTGAAAAATCAACAAGAAATCTTAAGATAGATCTGTGTATTTATACTATTGATGTAGAGTCACAAAATGAGGATGCGCATTGATCCAAATCTGTATAGATTGTTGGTCGTTGTCATGAAATATATAAGTTTTCATCATCACATTTGCTTTTATGTTATGCAGTTTTTTCAAATGAATGGAGTCATCTTAAGCTCCTCTAATGAACAATGGAAGCGGAGTAGGATTGTTGAAAGTACAATCTGGACCTCCTATTTGAATCTGTTGTTTTAAATGCATATAATAAACTTGTAGAGTTCAACCCCATCTAAAAAATTGCTCTATATTCCGTTTGAGCTCATTTGTAATTCGTGCATATGCACACTTAGGATTCCCAGGAACAACTTCATTTTTGCAATTCTTACGTGACACATTAAAATGATTTTTGCAATACAATTGTAAAAATCAACTTAAAATTAATACATGTATATAAAATAACGATTGTACAATGAAAAAAAATACATCAACAAATTCAAACTATAAAAACATTTAAACAAATTATACATACCTTTGTCTGTAATATATGACTGCAATATCAGATTCAAATTTATAATATGTAACATTAAAGTTACACATACTCTTTTCATATGATGATTAAATTTTATATTTCTAGATCGTGGTCTACTATTGTAACCTATACCAAAAGATGGATAGGTGACTTTACTTGATATTGTGTTTGGAATCTAAGAAGTATGATTAAATGGTCTACAAGCATACCAATAAGTTACAATTTTGATTCAATCAGTCTTGGGACATGGTTTGTTAATTTTTCTAAAAGATTGCCTTAAAATCTATTTACCTTCTGCCTTCATCATCTATACTTTCACTTGGAATATGAACTATCTCCACAAGAAAACTACGCATTTTCCAAGTCCATTGCAAAGATATGCTTGAAGGAGTTGATTGAACATGAATTTAACTATCCATTTTGTATATTTATCATGTAAACAATTGAATTAGATGAAGGTTACATTTCATTGACAAGACAAAAAATAATCTAAAATTACAAAGAAACTTCACTACAAATACATAACATAATTAGCAAATGAAGCTAGAAGGAACCTAGAATCGTCCTTTCATAACCTAAAACCATACCTTCAACTTCGATTTAGTTTAAACATGTTCTGATGTAATGACACAGAGAACTTTCATGGTTGTCAAGATATCACATACTTTGCACCGAAATGTCTCCATTGAAAGTCGTAAAAAGTGCCCAGATAGACTTATTCCCTCTCGGTAAGTCCGATGCTGAAAGAATATGGACGCAAGTCTTTCAGCACTCAGTTCTTACAAAGTAAACCATTTCGTCTTTGTAGGGACAGGGCGTTGTAAAAGTGGTGTTTGCAAAAGACCACAAGTGCTTGTAGACACCAAAGAAACCTATCTAGAAGGAGAATCAAAAGCATCAACGAAGAGATTGAAACTGCAAAACTGCGGCGGATAACAAGTTACAACCCTGCTCAAGGGAAAAAAACGTACCTGTATGAATCCTACTTTGTTTGGATACATACAGGATCTCATGGAAACTGGTCAAGTCATCGTCACAAAGATCAAATCAGCTCAGAACATATTCGACATGTTGACGAAGGCGTTCCCAGCATACAAGCATCGCAAGTTAATACAAGCGGCCGACATGAATTCTCTTTAGGACCTCGATCAACCTTAAAAAGGGTTCACTCTTTTCTCCCGTCGTAATTTTTCCTATTGGATTTTACTCGAGGAGGAGTTTTCAACGAGATTTTGGAAGCTTCAGGGTGGAATTCATCCATCTTAGTGTACTCGTAGTTCACTTAGAGTCTGGATATGAGCGTAGGATTCCACCTACCAGATTAAGTAGTTAGACGATCAGTTAGATAGCAATTAAGTCACAGTTCTCTTGAATGTGCCGGCCTTTACAACTGTACCCATCTACCCCGGAGTATATAAGCATGGGCCTCGAAGATCATATTTCTATTTTTCGCATTTGCTTGCTTCGATTGCTTTCTGTCTCAACAGACCAATTCCTCTCGCTCACCGCCGTCAACTTTAGCCACTTAACACTCGGTCCGCCAGAAAGTATGGAGTGCGTATGAAGGCCCAGGCCGTCAACCGGAGTAATATGGTCGGGGTGGCAATTGAAATATCTCCACACAATAATTATGAAAAACAAATTGTGAACACAAAACCTTAAACGGGAAAAAAATGTTTTTTACATTTGATCTATTTTGAATCTTAATGAAATTTATTTTTTTGAATGGGATGATTGTAACATAGCAATATATTGGAGATTGAGATAACTTGTTCAAAGGTTTGGATGATGCATGAAGATGTGTTTCAGAAATACGAGAATTCTCAATTGCAGGATATGGTCAACACTCCCGGAGAACCAAAGAGTGGAGAAGGGTGATACACCGTACAATAGAATAGACTTTTTAGGCAGATCTGATGTAGCATCCGAGGTCGATCGCTGAAGAGGTACTAAGCTTTAAATATCTCCCTGACAACGTCTTGGAAGTAGTTTACCTCTGTCAGACTGTGTAAAGCCTCAACATTCCAAAGTATTAGGCACTAGGCTGTAATTTATAACTTATTTTAATCTTATATGGTGTGGCGTAAGATTAGTTAGCAGCATGAAATATGTGAGCAATTATAAGAGTTGGAGGTAAACGTGAGAGTAACCAAGGTAGAACTATCATAATAGAACTAAGGTAGAAATCCCTATCACTATTTATCGAATATTACATTTCTTCTGTATATATAGAAGGATCAATAGGGTTCACTACCTTTTCTAGAAATTGCAGCAGTTGGAACGAGTAGTGAGTGTAGTCAGTGTAGATAGAAGTTCCAAGAAGCTATTGGCCTTGGTTTTCTTTACGTAGACTGGACATTTTTCCCCGTGAAGAAGGTGAAATTCCAGGAGCAACTGGAACTCATGCCAATGGGAGAAAAAAAATTGAACTACTAGCGACTGATTTAGCATGGATTGTACCTGCAACGTCGTCTGTGGTTAAGTTTTGTTGTGTGTCTGGTTAACTTTGAGTTTACTAATTGGACCCAAGTATCTGCGAGTTTGATAAGCTTTTCAGACTGATCCAGCTACATACCCTCCTCTGACACAGTGCCATGGCGGCTTGCAGATTCCGACAAAATGATTAGATTAGATGTCTCAGTATCCGGTTCACGAAAGACGAAAGTTAGAACTGTTTACGTACAAAATAACTTAAACATAGATAGATGCAGATGCACTTGCTTGTGAACATCCTCGGCTCATACTCTCCCACTGCGAAGACACACGGTCCACAATCATCGTAAAGAACACGGTAAAGGCGTCGTTTAGCCTCAATTGATGGTCGTGGCTTAGCCACACAGAGAAATAGAAACAGAGAGAAGCTCTCTGGTGACCGGGCGACCACTAACATGAATGAGTGGCTGCCATCTCATAATATTGTACAAAATTTGGCTCACTTACTGCTTTGAACGTCTCTCTGCACATGTGGGCCTTGATGGTGAGTGTGGCCAATTCGACCCACTTGCTAAGACTGGACAGAACTAAGTTGAGCAGAAACAATAGGAATGATGTCGAATCTACCTAATCTACTATCAAACTTTTGATGCACCCATGTTGCATCACGTAAGCCACTTCGTTCATCCCGAGTTTAAAGTGGGACCCTCTGGCTTCTCCAATACCAGCTCACTGGATCAAGATCCAAGAGGCATTATAGATCCTAGTTGTTCGGTGGTCACATGAGCACTTTCAAACTTACTGATTGCCTTACTGGGAGCTTTTGCTTTCAAGACCATCTCCTCGTACTCAGCAGCTGGATCGGAGAGAGCAATCACAGCCCCTCCGGCTCCTAAAGATGCCTCGCCATTATGAATTACAAGTGTCCTGATAACTATGTTCAGATCAAAAGAAGAATTGAATGATAGGAACCCAACAGTTCCTGAGTAGATGCCCCTGGCAGAGCCTTCTAGAGAATCAATAATTTCCATGGTTCTCAACTTAGGTGCTCCTGTCATCGACCCTCCAGGAAACGCTGCTTTGATACAGTCGACGGGAGTCATATCCTCTCGTTTCTCGCCCCTCACAGTGCTCACCATCGTGTGAACGGTGGAGTAAGACTCAACAGCCATGAGACTTGGGACATGTACAGATCCTGGTTTACATACTCGTCCAAGATCGTTTCTCAGAAGATCCACAATCATCAAATTTTCCGCCTGATCCTTTTCACTGTAACAACACATAGAAATATACTTAAATCAGTTCGTCGTAACAATCGAGGTAGGAAAACTGATCTTCCAAAGTGTTGATTTTCTTTCACTTAAATTGCCGGAAAGAAAATGAGCACAACCATAAGTGATATGTAATAAAGGCAAATCGAGAAAAGAAAAAGTGGCATCTTGACGAAAATGACGGACCTGTGTTGAAGACTGTGTTTAAGAATCTCATCCTCCTCTGGAGTATTTCCTCGTGCAACAGTTCCTTTTATGGGTTTAGCTTCTAAAACACCCCTCCTGTCCAACCGCAAGAAACGTTCGGGAGAAGAACTGCAAATGCAAGGACCATCTTTCCCAAACTGCATCCAAGCTGAATAGGGGGCAGGGTTGGTCTCCCGTAATGTGAGGTAGAGACCAAAGTAATCCTCGCCGGTGAACTTTTTCCTAAGTTGTGTGGTTAGACAAACTTCGTAGGTCTCCCCGTCTTTGATCAATTCCTGACACTTTTTGACATCCTTGATGTATGCAGCTCTCGACTTATCAGCAATAAAAGCGGGATTGATGTCTCCGTCTCTAGTTTTGACAGTAGAGACGAGGTTGAGATGATGCATCATCTTACTCCCATCGAGAGACTGCTGACCTAAACCCGTTACTTTCCTAACAATTTTCTCAACCCACCTTTCCGCTCCTCTCCGCTCTGATTCTAATCCTCCCCAATTGTCACCTTCCTCAACTGCGTTACTCTGAACCTCGTGTGTATGCAAAACACTTGAGCCTTTAGACAACCTCTGTTGTTTGTCTTCCACTCCACATACAGTTACGATCTTTTGATTTGAAGGACTGAGTCTGTCCAAAAGAGAAGGTTCCGGGATCCCTCCGATGACACCTTCCTGATACAAAGCTAGAACGTAAATATCATCATTGGCATGGTCGACAACTACCAATTGATCTGCCAAGAACATGCCCGCATCAGGCATTGACGACCTGTGGCGGTTTGAGGCTGCCCCGCACTCTAGCTTGAGCTCATACCTACAACATTCGTATAGGCAAGGAATGAGTTGGAAGAATTGGTGTCCCCAAAATATTAGCTACAAAACAAAACCGATGAAGACGCAAAAACTAGCAATCAACAAGGCTAGTATCACTCTGGCTTGACACATCGTGACTTGATCGTATCACGCAATCTCTCACTACACTCTGCCATTTCCACAGAAGTTAGCAATGTCTTCCGACTTGCTCAATTTGGTATGAAAGGAAAAATCAAGGCAATGGGAATCCTACCCCAGATATCCTACAAAACCTCCACAAAAATCAAATGGCAGGCTTGCATAATCTTCTTCGGGACATTTTCGCAGCTCCAACTCCTAGCATAAACATGAAGCATGAGTTGAGATCGCCCTGACAAATTAGAAACTGCTCTGGAAGTAAATGAAGGCATCAAGCAGGCATGCTGGCACAAAATCTAGTCCTCAAACACCAGCCACCAAACATCTATTACGCGCACCAAATAAGGTCTTCCATTGACTTAGAGCTCACCTTGTTCAGCAAGTTGAAAAACCCCTCCTGTAGTACGGTCTCTTTGACTTGCCCTGCAACATTCTCTACCCTTAAAACGCCGGGTAATCTGTCATCTCTGTTGGAAGAGAACGATACTAAGTCAAGACATCATCAGACATCACTTCCCCTGGGTATTAAATAGAGTTAAGTCAGATGAATCTTCACAACTCAATGCTGTAGGACAACACAACCGGTAGCTCACGTTCCAATGACTGCAGGACCATTCAAAATCAGAAACAGCTCTATTTGTGTATACATAGAGAAATATAATTTCCTGGGAAGAAGCAAAAAGTATTCTTCTTTTCAACACTTACATGGCTGGACATCCAATGCGATACGTGAACCGGTGCCACAACGAACCACCCTTTCCTCCCATAAAGGAAAACCGTGCCCTGCCCTGTAAGATTCAAACGCAAGTGATTGTAAAATACGTACACAAATAATTTTATTAGTGTCCTTAAAACTCATCCTGGCTTAACGTTAATTCTGATATCCGAACATCTATATCACTAATCCATATGTAGGAACGAAATTTCCTCCATTCCTCATAACTAAAAACAAGCAGCTTCAGTCATTCAATCTACTGAAGTAACGCTTTAGAATTTTCTTGAGGATAACACCGATTCCGAAATGATGATTGTAACTGGAAATCCACAGAAGTTTAGGTTTGCTGGACCTGTTGGGTTTAGGGTTTAGGGTAATGCAGCACCACCTCCGGTTATATGTTTAAGACAAAAGGGGTATAGAAGTTTACTACATTGAGCACGACGGTCTTTGAGAAGCTGAAGAAAAAATTTGCAGAGTTTAAAATATTTCTCATTAAATAATTACCAAATCTGAGGGCTGACAAAACCGTCAAGCAATATATTAAGAACTTGGGAAAAGTTTACCTGATCCCGAGTTGAACTATCCAGCCAGAAAGTATCCTCAACGGCCTCAGTCCCATAAATCTTACAGAAAAGATTCCTCGAGCCGCCAACTCTTGCAGCCATACCTGGGAGCTTTCTCCAATGTAGCCTCAAAAGCTCAAAACTTCCTACTTCATTATTCTTCTTTACTGGCTCCGTGTCAATGGTGCTTTTGTTACATCCTTGAGATGATGAATGAGAAACTTCGCTCCAGATGTCTTTCAAGTTTTCTCTTTGTAGAGCGTTGAGACCAGCAGACAAAAAATTGTGCGAACCAGGAGCGTGCAATAAATCGTCCTGCAAATTTACTGAATGTGAGACTGGTGACGTACTGTGTAATTAGCTATCAACGCCACATCAACGACACTATGCCAGACCAGATGCTTGTGGTGCAAGGAATCATCACTTGAAAAAATCTCAGCAGACGTGAAAGTCTCTTTCTTTTAACTGAGAACCAGCCTTCAACCTTCGTATGCAGGAGTTGTTGATCTGGTTAATTCGAGACTAAGAGATAAACCAGCCTTCTATTTCATCGATGAGATAATGTGATGAATATCAGAAGATAATCATGAGTATTTACATAAAAATTCAGTCACGGTAAGACAGAAGCACGGAATGGTAGACTGTGATTGTGCAATTACCGTGATCATAGGTCGACGTGATTGTTTCTCCCAAAACTCAACCGTTATATTCCGAAAATTTTCAAGAATTTGTTTGCCATATGCCGTTGCCACACTCTCAGGGTGAAACTGGAGATATCATATGCAATAGTGATTAGATCAAGAAATATCAAAACAAACGAATTTACACTAGACAATTACAAGTGTTATGGGTCAAAGAAATCTCAAACAGAACGTCGTGTTCCAAACAACGAGTTTACTACAACAATGTCAAAATTGATGATAAAGACGTAACGTAGAACTGCAAATTCGCTGCGGACCTGAACACCATGATGAGGCCAATGTCGGTGAGATATACCCATCAAAACCTTGGCTGTCCGCTTGCCATTTGACTCCTGAAAAGAATCTTCAGGAATTGTTTGACTATTGCTAGCATTATCTTCAAAAAAACTAGAATAACCATGCGTCTCTTTGCTTCGCCATGACACTTGACTTTCCGTGAAAGGTGCATTGCTAGAGGTGTTTAGACCGTCAGATACAGATTCACATTCCTTTGATGAGGTAATCCAAGCTGTCGCAATCAAATCGTCGGGCAAAGTGGAGGCATCCACCATAAGAGAATGATAACGAACAACCTGCATGAAAAGTCACAGACTACGAACTAAGAGCCTGCCAATGATGCAAGAATGAAACACTATCAAAATCAACCACTTCCAGAAAACATAAAACAACGATCATATAAAACAGAAACAGAAGACTATATCAGTTTATATATTAGCATTGCGATAAAGATGAGTTAGCAATATTTCGTCTCAAGTTCTGGTTAAATGAGCAGATTAAAGGTGAAGGGCAAACCTTGAAGCCTGAATCTGCTCCTGATGGGATATTTGAAAACAGTGGATGCCCATTATGCTGAGTTTCACTGCATGACACACCTGCAATCTCGTAAGAATCAGAGATTTCAGGAGACTTTGAAGAGTACTGATAACTACCCCAAGTGTAAGTCATGAAGTAGAAGCCTAAGCGATATAGAGTGACATTTTCCTTCACATGATCAATTTTCAAAAAAGTTAATGACTTATATTCTCAACCATTGACTAGATTCACTACTGAATCATTCCAATCAACAATCTTTCGAACAACCGAAGATTTAGTGATTGAATATTATTGTGTAAGGACTATTTGAAGAATTCCAAGTATCTCACCTGAGTCGGCCATGCACCGGCTCGGGTGCATGTACTACTTTGGCCCCATGGACGACCCCTAGAGCCTGTAACTCGGAACAATACCAGAATAATTCCATGAGAACAAGAGCATAAATCTAGTTATATCCACGTAGCGAATTGCAAGGGCCGATACTGTGGCACACAAAGTGCAGGTGTGATGACTCATCTCTGCAAGAAGTTAAGAAAAATACCTGATGGCCCAAACAAACTCCTAGAATTGGTATATCGGAACATTCTTTCAAAAGCTCAAGGCACACACCTGTACAACAAATAATTGGTGAGACAAGCTTAAACAATATTCCTATTAAGATGTTCATCTTCAACATTTTACGGCTAGTTTCACACACTTGAACCACTGATTCGTATTTGTGTTTTCTAGTGGAATTCTGGACTTCAATATAGCATCAGAGTCACGGTCATGCAAGAATAATCCTCTTTTTTTTTGGGAGCCCTCTAATCACTCGATCAGACCAAATGACCTCTATTGTTCAAAAAGTAGTTATACCATACAGCGTAAAGTGGCGAGTATTACCAATATCTGAAGCACACGTCGGTGAACCTGGCCCAGGAGAGATAACAACGTTGTGGAAAGCTCGTTTCTCGTACAAAAGATGACAAAGTTCCTCCCAGGTTACCTCATCATTCCTCAGCACGACTGGCGCAACTGGAGGCCAAATTCGGAAACATATGATAAGCCGAAGTTTTCTTTTGCACGTATTACTATCAATTGCATCGCCTCGACAACATTACTCAATGGAACTATTACTCACCTCCATTGATGACTGAGAGCAACTGGTACAAATTGTAGGTGTAGCTGTCGTAATTGTCCAAAATTAGAGTCCTTATTGGTTCCTTCGATGTTGACTGCTTGAGAGGTGACGTGCGATTGTTGATTTTGGCAAGCGAACTTCGATTCGAAACTGAATTTGTCGAACAAGTTACTGGCTCTGACTGCTTGGAAGTCTTTACACTGCTGAATGGGTACCGTGCCAGATTTTTTATCAATTTGAAACTCCCTTCCTTCTCTAGCTTAGCATCTCCACCAGCGATTGAGTAGGACTTCTTGAAGACAGCAACTGGGTTGGTAAGACTCAACTGGTTCGAAATAATCATCCCAGGCATATTTGTCGTGTAATTCAATGAATGGACTCCCTGTGAAACTGACATCACTTGAACTTGCCGATGCAACCGGTTGAGATAATTTTGGCTGTCACTTCTTCATCATCCCTGGCCTGTCAACTCGCAGCAGCAATCCATACACTCCATGGTGCCACATTTGCTGAAGGTGACTCGTCCACTCTTCGCAGTTCTTTCATGGAAATTCACTGATAATTGACAGCAAAATATTTCACGTCGTCCGGAACTCAATGTCGGAGGGCCGCAAAATCCATGTCCACGAGAAAATCTACCCCAAACAGAGATGATCAAGAGCAACGTTCCATGGAGCTAGAAAAATGCAAATTGCTGTCCAGAATCTTATCGAGAGGTGATGGCAAGAAGTTCCAATTACAAAAGCTAGCGAGGGCGGGCACTACACAAGAACGACGGCCAAATCCGCAGTCTCGGCGCTGAGGCGAATGAAGGCAAGGACGGACACCGTGCGCCACAAATCATGCGCCCGAAGGCAATTCCGTGCGAAGGAGAAGAAAAAGAAAAAGATCAAGAGCGGCGAGCGCTCGCTCGCTCGCAAATCGGCAGCAGAACACGCGGCACAGCAGACGGGGAGACAAAAATAGACGAGCGCCAGGCACAATGGATGGTAGATGTGGAATTGCGTCCTGAACTTGCGGAAATTCTCACGCCCTCGAAGGTCTTCAAGACGCTCCGACTCCAGGCCGAGCAACCAACCGCTCTGCGAGGCACCGTGCAATGCAGGTGCGCGAGTGCAGATGGCAGTCCCACGATCTTGCCCAGCTGTGGGACAGGGGCCGAGCACGCCTTCCCTGTCGCTCCCACCGATCGTCAGACATCGGAATGTCGCACTCCAGCCTCACGGAGTGCGGAACCCGGTACGCTCGGCGCAGTAGCACGCATCTCGACCACGTAGCCAGGCTCCATCCCGCGGTCCATCCCGCGGTGATGAACCTGGTGAGTGACCACTCACCAGGTTGCTGCTCTTGGCTTGCTTTTGACCGCCTACGAGCGCCACGACCTAAGATGCTTCGGTCGAGGATGCCACACTCGAGGTCCACCAGAATATTCCAAATCGACGCCTTGTGCAATTGGCTTGCGACGTCGGCCTAGTGGCCGAGTTGTGTTGCTCTCATGCGAAGCCCGGGAGAGGGTGGCACTGGATCCGATCGAGCATCGACGGCTCTGGCTCCTCAGGCCCTGCCATTGGTGAAGACTGAGCGAAGCCCCATCGCTTTTTCCAACCAGAGTTTCGGGACACTTTGGGGAATCTGCAGACTCGACTTTGCGTCAAGTACGTACCCATTAGGGCCTGGCGCTGTGCTTACGCAAGGTACCCTAAAAGTGCGACCAAAAGCAGCGACGCGATCCATCTTACTACCGCGATCCATCTTACTGTGCTACCGGTAGTCGCACCTCGGGGGCCGCCAATTGTCTCCAGAAGGACAGCTTGTAGAGTACCGTGGCTACCGGTATACGATGCACGTCCGTTAACCGTAGGTTCCACTTCCATGTTACCAAGACGGTCCCGTAAAGTTCGTTGTGCGAACAATTTTGTGGACAAACTGGTAGACTTGCGGGTCCGCTCGGCTCAGAGGTTTAGCCAATCTTCGAAGATTTCCTGGGCTTCCAACAGAAAAAGCCTACTCTGTCTTTTCTGGTTCTCCTGAAGGAGTCTGGACCTTGGATCTGAGGATTAAGCTAATCGGTTGAATTCGAGAACCGGATTCCAACTCTTCTGACGTGCAGCATATGGACCACCTGAACGACAGGCTTTGGCTATTACACGACGTGGCACGCACCTCGAGGCAGTACGTGTGCCCATCGAGCTCTCTACAGTCGCTTTCCCACGTCACAACTCGCCCACGGTAGAATTCATTCACTGTCCTCCTACCGGTAGACGACGGTCACTCGTGTTCTGATTATGCTGACGGGTTTTCGACAGAAGTTTGCTCCACGGGCTAGTACCGGTGAAAAGTCGATAACGAAGCATGTACCGTACATCGCAGTTCTGCAGTTGTATATGGACTGCAGCACTGGAGGCTGTAACCGACTGGGCGGTCCTGACCGGATGGTGATGACATCGGAACCATTGGACAAAAGAAAAAGAATCACACCGAGATCCTCTGTATCTTGCTCGTGAGTGGATGAATCCATGCGCACCGTAATTGGATACAATGAGAATGGGAAGCGGGGACAACCATGGGAAGCCACCAATGGGTGATTCTTCGATACTCTACAATATTTCCAATGCGTGATTCGATCCAATATTTCCACGTGGGATAACCACTTTGAAAACAGCTTTTAAACCATTCTCAGCATTTTGCTGAATTCTAGGTCACTAGTGTCTTCCGTCATTACCGTGAGCACACCTTCTGTTCTTTTCTTGCTAACCTTGATAAACTTGTCTCTTCCAGCTCGAGAATAAATTTTAAACTTCTCGTTTTATTGACTCGTTCCAAGAAATGTATTTCAATGCTTGTCCACGTCCTAACAAGCTATAATGGTAAGAGTGACAAAGTCAATTTTCATTTTATCATGAGAACTAATATAGAAGGAGATATAATTTTGATTGAACAATATGATAATGTCAAAGTTTAAAGTATCTAAGTAACTACTATACAAACATTGTGGGAATGTATGATATCTTACTCTTAAGTTTTTCAATGGCTATGGAAAATGTATAGGTGACATTATGATTATTCTAAAATTAGACATAAAAGATTGTATCAATGACATCTTTTAGAATCTCCAAAACTATATATTTACCTTCAAAAGTTGTTCAAGGTATTTACTTGATGGGACTACATCGGAACTTAAGATTTTTTGATAGAATCCATCAAGTTTCATTTGTGCTCGATGGAACCCCATCTGAAGGTACACGTCACGCATGTTGTAGTATTAGCAGTGAAATTTTTTTGTAGCAATCGCGACTCTGGACGTCTAGTGAACCTCTGTCGCAGCATCTACCTAGTGGAGCTCTGTAGTAGCAATCGCGTAAGAGTCAAGCCAAAGCGATTGAAGTTTTTGTTATCTTTGTTACATAATTGATTGTGTTAAAGAAATTTCCAAAAATTTGCTTGATCTTGGTCTTGTATTACGGTTGCATGAAAAATAGATAAGGTTATATGAAAATGCAACGTGACAATGAGAATAAATTAATTTTGTTCGAACACTTAGCAGAGTAGATGATTATCAAAGAGTTAACTTGTTTTGATTGCTTGATTGAAGTGATGAATCTTGACAACCTAGAGTGGCACGGATTGACTTTCGCTCACTGTCTAATGTTAATCGATGAGTGATTAAATTATAGTTTGTTGTTAGGACCTAGCAATGCAACAGCTGCTTGAACAATTCCGCTTGTTCAAAAGTCTCAATACATACAACACAATAGCAATGAGAATTATGCAGAAAACATTCATAGATTCTACAAACGATGTTGTCAAAGATGCTCCCATGAGAAGAAAATTGTACACCAATGATAGTCAAATTTGACCAATTTATAAATTTGCCATGTCATGTACCATGTCTTTTCTGTCCATGTAATCTTAATAATTGTTACAAAAATATTGAGAATAGAAGAGCACTATTGTAATTTTATATAGAGGAATTTTTCCAACAGAGATACAATTTCATCATTTTGTTATGCTATTTCTTTCTTCAATCTATGTTGGATAGCATAAGTATGCAAGATCTGTGTCGAGACCAATCGTGAAAATTACAATTGGCGTAAATCCATGAATTTGCTGGATGAATTCAACTACGACCTTCTTCTTTTGTTAGCTGATCTGATTTTGGTCAATTCTTTGTTCATAATTCATTAACAATAATCAGTTTAAAGCAATTGATTTTGTTGTGAAGATCAGGAATCCTTTTGATTCTTTGTTCATCATTTTGCTTGGTAGTTAGTGCTACCTCTGACGCTTGTGTATTTTGCAAGCCCATTTGAATTTTGCGTGGACTTTATATTCATACATTTTCATTTCTAACAAGTACGTCAAGATGAATGATCAATCCAAAATCAGTCACAAATGGCGTCAAACACTATAACCATCTTTTGTTAGTTAGAACTAAAGTATAGATTACTCTAAATATTGATATATATACTTTAGCGTGCATTAATCATAGTTGTCACGTAAGTGATTCGCACGCTTGGTAGGTAAAGAGTATGTGGGTTAATTGACAGCGCCACGTTAGCGATCCATGTGTTTGTTATGTGAGGATTGAGTGTGTTAGTTGTCAGTGCTATGTAAGCAATCTGTGTGTTTGTTAGGGTTATCTGCCACGTTATCCATCCACTAAGAGTGATCATTGGTGGAAATAAGATCTTATCTCTTTGTACTTGTTTGTGAGAGACGAACTATTGTTGGAATCTCTCATCTTTAGAGTTTATGTTTCCATTTTCAAGTAAACTTCTCACTATGTATTAGGGTTACAAACACTCACTGCTTTTCTTCTGTAAAATATTCATCAATGCTTTGAATACATTGCTTCAATGTTTAATTTTCTTTTACAACTTGTTATAAAATAACCATATTGTTGATGAAGTTTAAAAATTCTTATTTATGAGTTAAAGATAAGATGGTTAAGAGTTAACTAAGATTTTGATTAACTATAATTCTTGTAGCTATGGTTATTAAACTAGATAGTAGGAAGTCTTCTTCACATAAAGTTTATGATTTCTTATAAAACAAACTTTTACTCCCGTGAATTTAGCCTCCGGGATATGAAGCACTTACATCCGATGTCAACTTAGTAACATTGTTGTGTATGAAGAATCTCTAGTTATTATCCAAACAACTTCTAGCATATTTACTTATGAGTCGTGTTAAAATTGAATCTTTTAGATATTAGAAATCACAAAAATGATTATATTTAGTGGATGATACAAAGGGTATGACCAGAGCATATGTTCTTGTTTGAATGTTAAATGTTCTTATGCTTATGGATAATCGATTGTTTAACCATTTTTTGGGCTAAGTCATAATATGCAGAGAACTTTTAGATGTGTTTCAAGTTTGATTAGAATTCAACAACAAAAATATTCTTGGAATACTTAAAACCCACACATTGCGTTTATAGCAAGTTGATTATTTATTACACTACCCAAGCATTCTCCTCATCATCTCGGGGTTACCAAGTTAACATCTTGTATTACGAGGTACTTAGGGTGGATGTTGTACTCTACATAAACAGACCTACTCCAGTTAATGTTGGATCGACTCTGAGTTGCCCACCACTTTGATAATTAGGGAATGGTCTAGACAAACGGAACATTCATGTTATGTAGAGGAGTGTAGCATGGACAATGAAAACATTACCTTTTGGGATGCGGTTCTTCCTGTCTGTGAGAGACATGAAAGGACTTCTAGTTCTTTATAGATCACCAAAAGTGCTATGCGCAGCAAGGCTCACTGAGTTTGTTGGCCTGAATGTCGATTATATTTCTTGTTGTGCTTATCATCTTCATTCTGAGTCATGTTGATAAGCATCTGAAAAGGGTACTGTCCGGTACACCACGTCAGTATTCCAAGTCTCCATCAAAGATAGCGCATGACTGCCCTTGAATTTATTCCACACTAGTCCCAGAAAACTCCAGATAAGATGACATGGGGTATGATGAAATTCATAGTTACAAAGTTAGTTTCTCTCCGTATCTAGGGTTAGGGTTAACTAGGGTTCAATTATCAGTTATATAGTCCGTTCCCCTTAAGATTCGGACATCATCCTCAAGTTTGGGTCTTGAACTCTTGCGCGAAACCCTAACCCAAACCCTAAACTCAAGAACTTTCCAAAGGTTCATTTTATAAATAATACCGTCTGGCCTGTATGACAAGGTGAGTGTTTCGTGTGGGTGTGAAAATAGGGTGAAGTTGGTACTCTAGTTGAAATTAGGTTTGTTCTCAGTTCACAGATAGAGGTGATATCTTGAGGATTTTATATGGTGTTGAGGGTAAAGAGGGTGGTAACAAGCTATGAATAAACCTGGAGTGTCATCCGGTACTAATGATTACACATAGCATACATTTAGTCAATTGCTGCAAAGAATTTCAAGAAGCCAGAAGCCAGATGTGAGTGGCCACGAAACAATGAAGTAAAGAAAATTAAGAGAAGTATTGACTACAACCAACAGCTTGCAGATGATTTTCTAAATCTATTGCTCTAGATTATTTTCTATCAATTTGTATAGTTTTTAGTTGGAGTTATTTATTTGATGGGACCCATCCGAAATTAATATTACAGGAGTGACCACACCTACTACATACCAAGTTTCGTTTTACCGTATGGGACCACACGCCGTCGTGAAGTTCTAAATATGTTCATGTATACATATGATGGTAGTTTCAATGGACCTCTGCAAATTCTAAAATGTGTTCATGTATACATATGATGCTAGTTCAAGTGAATCTCTGCAATCGCAAGCCGATGAAATGTAACTGCACACCGTAGTGAAGTTATAAAATGTGTTCATATATACATATGATGCTAGTTTCAAATATCAAAGACAAATGAAATGTTACAGACATTGTCACAAGTGCACAGAGGTTTTGGGTTTTGACAGGTGGAACGATGGTCGTGTAAAATTTGTGAAAAAAGTTCAGAGAGAAAGACCTTGTGAATGTCAGGTAAATTTACAAATGTTGGTGCAATGTGAAAATCTCGGATGTAGAGGCCTTGTGAATATCAGGTAATTTTACAAATTTTGGTGCAATGTGAAAATCTCAGATGAAGAAGTGTCCAGGTCTGAATGCGCCGAATGGAGTTTGAGCCGTTCAATGATGGATGCCGAGAAGAATAACATGACGAGGAAAGTCTCGCTATCACAATTCCACTGTCTGCATCATCCGTTGATACTAGAACATGTACACGGAGTGATGGGGTAGTAAGTAAATACTCTTCCTAGTTCGCACCCAGAGGATTTATTCCAAACTCTTTCTGGAGACCTCTAGGAGAATAAACCATGCAAATTTTTGTATCAAACACCGTGAACCGATCTCGCTTTTCCATACAAAGGCTTATATAGTTTAGGGTTTAGGGTTTAAGTGCTGCCTTCAATGTCTTGAAAGAGGGATAAAACGTTGAAAGCTATGCTGGGTCCAAACGTAGACAGAGGAACTAAACGACTTAGAAGATTAGAAAGAAAAATCTTCACAAGCTATTCGCCAGATAGCTACAAAAAGTATCTTCAGCTTCTCCATGCTTGAACACTGAACACTCGGAAGTTGTTGAAAAACTGTCCGCGATGAAAGTTTCGAGCACTCCACGACTACTGACTTGCAACATCTTTGTGAAGTCAGGAACTGTGCAAAACATTTATTCAATAGTTGTGCCCAGGCCCTACGTTTCCTGCGAGACCTGGGATACACTGAAATTTAAACTAAATCTTACGAGACTGAAACTACGGAACATACAAACCTTTCTAAATTTCTATCAACTGCCAAATTTTCAGCATCGACCCAAAATTCTCTCAGCAGCATCTGCTTCAATGTTCTCACTAGGTTAAATCGAAGGTACCTTCAATCACAGGCACCTCAATAAGAATGGTGTATTACCTCGGGACTACCAGAATAAGCGAGCCAATGGAAACAGCTAACAGTACTCCTTGAACAAACTGAACAGTTGTACTCGTCCGTGCTCACTTCACATCAGATACGCTCTGAACTAAAGCAACTCCAGGCACCTCACCCTTGACATTCACAATACTTCGTAGGTATTATCAGGTCCAAGAATTACGCTGATAATAGACTAATGCTCTCCAGGATCAAAACTGACGTGCGGAATTCCCCACACTCCTCTAATTGTCATCGTCAGAGTTTGCAAACTTGATGGAATGAGTCGCCATGGTGATGGCACCACCCTTATAGCTTCCACGCTTTTTCTTTGTTTTTTCGTGTCGAAAACCCCTACACACATTCAAAGTTCATCAGCAAACGCACCTCAAGGAAAACAAGCTACTCGGTACAGATTACAATTTCCAGGAAGCTTAAGAAAAATGTCTCCAAGTATTACGTACTTTCCTCTGACTTTCCCTAGAACTTCTTGCGCCTTCGCACCCCAGCCTTCCTCAGCTCCATCCTGCATGATCAACAAAGAAATGTTCAAGCTTAATACCTGTACGTCAATCTAGCAGGCACAAAAATATCAGAACTGATAAACATCGTGAAAGCTGAAAATGGTCAGCAGTTACCTTGGCCCAGTATGAATTGTCTTGTAGTCTTGGATCAGCGTACTCAACCTGCACGAAAATTGGTGAGAACATCGAACACAGAAAAAACACAAAACTATGAAAACTGACAAGATAAAGTGAGAAAAACTTGACAGAAGCTGAGGTGCTAGGACCAGCTTGACGAAGCAATCCTGATGCAGAGATGGCATGGAATTAGTGACACAAGAAATCACTCGTACATCATTTATGTCAATCTTCTGAAAGAACTTCGGCGTTCCCTGCAACAGCAACAAGATCTCATTAGATGGCATTCAGAAATTTGCAACACAAAAAAACAGCAACTGATAAAATCAACCCCACATATGAGGATCTATCAAAATGTTACGAGAGACAATAGACAGTACATAGTGTACAATACACGTCATCAAGCACCCCAAGAAGTGTTTACCTGTTCAGCTTCCAACTTTTGCCTCTTGGCATTCCTCTTGGCTGACCTGGGATCCCCGTTTTCCGTTTCCTTCGCGACCATCTTCCCATCCGCTACTTTGACAGGAGTACTCTCCGGTTTTTCCTCTACATCTCTCTTACGTTTCTTTCCTGCGGGTTCTTCACTGGCAGCAACAACCGGTGTTGCTACATTAGAGCCTTTTATGGCTTTCTTCGAAGACTCGTCGTCGCTTTCATCACTGCTGTCATCTGAGGAGTCAGACTCCACTGCAGCAGGTTTGGCAGCCGGAGTTTTATTTTGTGCCTTGGCTGTCACAGGTTTTTTGGGGCTCTCCTCGTCACTTGATGAAGAATCGGAGGAAGAAGAAGCATCTGTCTTCTTCTGAACTACAGCAGCTGGCGTGGAAGATTTCTTCTGATTGGAGGTCGGCTCATCATCACTGTCACTATCATCCGAGGACGATGATGAAGCGGCTTTGACGGATTTCGTTGCGCTTGCTTGAACAGCCTTCCCTCCGCTCGCAGCTGAAACTACCGTGCTTTTGGTGATCACTTGTGCAGATTTCTTCACTTTAGAATCGTCATCGCTCTCATCACTGCTTTCATCCGAGGACGATGAAGTAGAAGGTTTCTTCGCAGTAGGAACCGTCGCCTTCTTCTTCGCTGCGATGATTTCCTTCTTGGTTAGACCTTTTCCAGCCTTTTTCTTTGAATCGTCATCACTGTCGTCCGATGACGAGGCTGAAGGCTTAGCCTGTGCTTTAGGCTTCACTGTCTCAACAGGTTTCACAGCCTTCGAAACTGGTTTCTTTTGTGGTATTTCCGCATCATCGTCGCTGTCATCATCGCTTGACGATGAGTCTTTCCGCTTGGAAGAAGCAACAGGCGCAGCTTTGACAGGGGTTTCCGATTTCTCGTCATCGCTACTGTCACTTGAAGATGAATCTGATACAGCAGGTTTTTTCTTAGCAGGAACTGCTGCAGCCTTTGCCACAACCACTTTCTTTTTGGTTGTATCCTCGTCGCTGCTGTCGTCAGTCGAAGATGAATCAGAGGCTGCTGGCTGTTTCTTCGCAGAGACTACTTCGGTTTTCGACACCGGAAGCTTCTTCTTGGCCGCATTGTCATCACTCGAAGACGATGAAGAGGAGGCCGCGCCCTTCTTAGCAAGAGGAGCTGCAGGAGTTGATTTAGACGGAACGTCAACCTCCATCTCATCTTCACTATCATCAGATGAAGATGATTCTTCCACCTTCTCAGCTTTAGGCTTCGCAATCTCTTTCTTAGTCTGACTAGCTTTGGCATTTACCTTTCCAGAGGGTTTCTTCTCCGTTTCATCATCACTGCTGTCGGAGTCTTCATCAGAAGAATCAACTTCAGCTGCACCTTTGCTTTGTTTCAGAGCCGTAACCTTAGTCGCAGAAACTCCTGCTTTCACAGCTGCCTTCTTGTCGTCCTCGCTCTCTTCGTCACTAGAAGAAGACGAATCTGAAGAGACTTTCTTTGCTGATTGCGGTACCGCTGCTTTTTTAACAAGTCCCACAGCCTTTTCGTCCTCACTTTCAGATTCGGATGATGAGGATTCTACAGGCGCTTTCTTCGGGGCGGGAACTGAAACAACCACAGCCTTCTTAGCGGGGGTTTCTTCCTCACTATCAGAGTCATCTGATGAAGAATCGTCAGACTTGACGGCAGCTGGGGGCGGGACGGTAGCTTTGGAGCTTCCATTAGTTAACACTGGTTTGACTGCCTTCTTTGCTTGAGTATTTACAGGTTCTTCATCATCGCTACTTGACTCATCCGAGGAAGATGACACTGCAGCAGCCGCTACTGTCTTGACTCGCTTCTCCAAAGGTTCGTTAACAACCTCTTGAGTCTTTCTCTTCTTAGAACTGCAATACAAAGGAACGAGGATGAAAAGGGCCTTAAACACTTCGAACGCTGATGTCTCATTCCCCAAATAGCACATACTGGTACAAACGATTACTCTTTCTTCCGCGAAATGTTGACGTTAAGATCTAGCAACACAACAGCCATTTGCAACAACTCGACATGCGGATAGTAAGAATATTTTCCTAAACATTCTACCATGGTCCTCAGCTACAGGAGGATGAGAACCTTTAGCACCAAGTATTCAGAATACAGCCATTAGTACCAGCTTTGAAATACATCCTGTTCTAAGCAAATCAAAAGACTTCCACAAGACCGAGCGCACGATACTAGAATAACGAGTGATTTCAAACTTCGCAGGTACAAGTCCAGACACACAGTTTGAACGAATTGCTTCATATATCAAAAATTAAGGGCTTATCAACGAAGGCTCTCTATATCATAATAACGAATTCCATTAAGTAGGACAATGGCCGAAAATACTCACCCTGACTTGGTAGACAAATGGCTGGCATATATTGACTCCAAGTCGTCATCTACGGGAGATCCAGACTCTTTCTGTGGTCCACACAGGAATATCAACTGTGAGAAATGTACTGCTTGCAGAGGTGGCTACATTAATACAGAGCGTCATATAACCATTGATCGACCCCAAATTGCTCTCAGTGGAAAAATGCAGCTAATAGTAAAATGTGGAAGTACAGATTAACTGCGTGTGCCAGCCTACACGGCTTGTTACAAGAATGGTTATCGACAAAGGCGCAGATTATAGAAACAAGAACTGGTAAAAGCAAACATCAGCTAAACTGCCGAGTAAAAGAGCAACATCTCATGCACTGGATGTCACTAAAATGAAAAAAAACGGGTTCAATATTCTCCTGAAATAAACTCATGCGAAAGGAATGCTTGAGAAGATTGGCAGATATTCGAGCATCATAGAGTTTTCAGAGAAATGTAAAACTCTTCAGTTCAGACAGAACGTGTGTATGCACGAGCTCTGAGACCTACATACTCCGTCGCATTTTGGAGTTACTCTTTGAGGGAGTACAAGACCATCTCCGAAGCCCAAAACCCAAAACCCAAAACCCCACAATGCAGTCAACCACGCGAATGGCGGCGTCGGAAACCAGCAACGCGCAGCGATTCACTGGATCCCATACATGTACATACAAAGCCGCGAATCTCCAATTCGGCGGAAAACGCCACGAAATTTGAAAGAAAAAAAAGTAAACTAAGTCAAAAACATGTGAAGAAAACCAGCTGGAAAGGAAAGTAAAGGAAGACCCAAGATCATACAAAATCCTTGATGCAAATCGAAACCTAAACAGCGGTAGAATAGAGCGGTAGGAAAAATAACACTCACAAAGCTGGTTTCAGCAAGCAAGGCTTTCACAGATTTGGTGAGCTTCCGCTTGCGCAGGTACGCCAATATCAGAGGGAAAACATCAGGAGTAGCTGCCATTGCCGTCGCCGCAAGAATCAAATCTCGGACTCGCAATGCGCGCGGTACAAACATACAACGACGGATCAATTCGGCAGCTGCTGCCCCTCGTCGCTCGCCTCCTTCCGATGCGTTCTCGTCTCTCCTTCGGCGCAGTCCCCCTCTCTCTTCTCTGTGCTCTATCAGTCACCTCCCCATTAACCCCCCACTAATTGACTTGCTTAATTCTCCGTTGCCATTCCGAACGGAGTTACGGATGATAGTTTACCGCACACCGTTTACCCAGTTGGCTCGGGTCTCCAGGCTGTATGTACAGTTGGGTCCCTCCATATGGAATACTTCAAGGGAGTTTACAGAAGTCCTTGGACGAGTTCACGACATGTCCAAGTCGCCTAGTACCTGAACTTGTTGGGGTGTGTCTAAAGCTCTAATATGCCGACATATCTTTTGGCAATGGAAGAGTGTGCAGGATTGATGCATTGTATCATGTCTGCTAGTTACAGAATCTCAACAAGTGGTTTTTTTTTTTTAACTGAATGCTTTCTCATGTTTTAATTTGCATGCTGTAGACGTAGTTGTCTTTAAATGAGAAAATTTAATGACACTATAAAAAGATAAAGAAGATATATCAAGGTGTCCAAGGATATTCTTCATATTCGTAGGATACGACGACCTATGATATCAAGTCGAGCAAAGACTTGCGTACCAAAACTAATTACATGTCCACCTTGCATGTTTAGATCCATGAACCTCTAAGATCAGAAGTGATTATGGGTAAAGTCCAGCCAATTTTTTTAAATGTGATAATGTAGCACAAATTGCTATCTCATTACACTTTGCTATAGATGGAAAAGCTTTAATACATAACATACATTTTTCTTGTGTTAAGACCTAGCCATCAACCTAGCATTGGAAATATCATGTTTTTTTATCAACAACATTTTACTCCAACTTTTACAGCTACATTTTAACAATTAAACTCTTATACTTTGGAAGCTCCAATAGCTTTAAAAGTTTTGTTTTCAATGAACAAGTGATGATTTTGTAGTAGAAAGTTTTTGTTAGTCATAGATTGATTCATTTGTATCAATATTACTTCTTAGCTCAAATCTCTGGATTTAATCTTCTTCTTTTGACCTTGTTAAATTGATCATGAAGTTCCATCACAAATTTGTGTAGCTAATGTAGTATGATATTGCAAAGTAGCTAATTCATCAGTGAGCACTACTCAGTGGCTTCGTCTAAACTTATGACTTGATCGGAAGTTCATTAAATTCACAATAATCAATCTTTCATTCAACAACATCAAAGAGTGAATAATTGATCTTGTCAGCAAAGATCATCGCAACATTTCACTTTTTTAACTATAGGGGATGAAAAAATTCAAACAATTTTTTGTTTCTAACAATCAAATTAAGTTTTACAAAAATTTAAAGCTCATTTCATATGATGCTTCACATCATTTGCATATAAACTCAAATGACACTTTTGGAATGTATTTAGAAACTTGATACCATACTTCTTATACGTGAAAACATCAACTAGTAAAACCAAGTGATTTCTGACAACATTTGTTATTCAATAAGAAATAATGTCAAAAATTTGATTACATTTGAAAGAAAATATAATTTCAAATACATGATGGCACTAATAGTAGGATTTCAACTTTTGTATGCTAAATCAAATTGGCTCAACATACTGAGAATCTATTCCAACATACATTGATGAATTTTTTAAAAAAAATTATATTATAAGATATTTAGCTCCAAATGATTGATCTTTTTTTAACTTTTAAACTACTTCATATGTATTTTTAATCATGATTTAAATAGAGATTTTTCACTTTGTGATAAATTGGAATGTCAGTTTTGGTTTTTTACTCTAGAAAATTGTCTTAATCATCAAGTAGAAGGTTTTCAAGACGGTGATAAAATTTCCTTATAACAGATGATCGGAATGTGATAAAAAAAATCACATCATGAAGTATTGTCGGATGACATTTTCAAGTACGGCCTCTACTTCAGTGGCAAACGTTGCGAAGCATTTTAATACTAAGAAGAACGATCTGTTTGCAAACGGCATATGATGTGAGAAAATGCTCTTTGGAGTTCATCAAAAGTTGGTGATGTATAGATAATGGACAGTGTTTGTTCTTATCACATTTGTTACATTATAGAGTTCTTTTGTACTTTCTCAATATCAAACGATTAGATTCTTATGGAGAACCACTAACCTTGTAGAATTGAGGATGTTGGAAGTGTAAATATCTTCATGTTTGATAGTATCAACCTTACGTTGACGTAGATTAGATTAATACATAACATGAAAAATAACTTGATCTTTCTTGGAGTGTTAGACTCACACGGCTTGGAGTGAACTTTCAGGCAGGTTGTTAGATGTCAAAACGTATGATAAGAACATTATTTATCGGAGATACAAGCACACTAATTTGTACTTGTAAGAAGGCATCACTATATATGAAAAAGTTAACTTTATCAAATTTCGTATGGCATTCCAGACTAGGCCATATGAGTGGTCGATACATGTTTTTTCTTGATAAGAAAACGTTCTTACCGAGTTTGGGTAACATTGACATGGCATTTTGTGAACATTTCATCATGGAAAAAGGCCATATGCTATTTTTTTGGCATTGGAACTCATAGTTCCACGGAGATACTAGAGTATGTACATAGTGACTAATGGAGATCTTCTACTCTTGCCTCACTCTCAGGAAAGATGTATTATGTCTCTTTTATAGATAACTACTCCAGGTATGTGTGGGTATATATTTTTAACCACAAGTTTGAAATGTTTTCAACCTTCAGAAGTTGACGCATACAAATTGAGATTCAAAATAGACACAAGATGAAATATTTGCGATAAGAGAATGATGGCGAACTTACTTCTGAGTAATTTCCAAGGTATTGTTCAGAGGAGAAGCTTACTTGTCATTTCACAACGGATTATACTCCATAACAAAACTTTGTTTCTGAAAGTCTTAATCATACATTGTTGGAGAAGATGTGGATTATGATGAGCGCATCAAGTTTACTGAGAGAATTTTGGGCCGAAGTTGTCAACATCACAATTTATTTGGTAAACTTTCTCCCTCTAGTGCAATCAATTTCTTAACACAGTTTGAACTGAGCCATAAACGGATGGCGGATTATAGTCACTTGAGAATTTTTTATCGTACCGCTTATACTCTCATACTTAAGGAGCACATGACTAAATTAGACCCAACATTCAAGAAATGTCGTTTTCTTAGATATGTTAGTGGAATGAAAGGTTATAGGCTATGAACTCCAGTTGTACTTAAAGTGATTGTTAGTAGAGATGTTTGTTTTTGTTAGTATTCAGTCTACTGTCAAGGTTTGGTCAATTGGTTTTAGAGTGACCACTAGACTTGTCGCCTTGAACATTATCAATAAACATGTAATGATCTGATGGATTTAGTTTAAAAACGAATCAAGTTATCTTTTTATGTTTTTCATGTGAGTTTCTGATGGATCTCAAATTTTTTTTATTTGTGTTATTTTATAGATGAGTTGTGAATAACTTGCTCATACAACTCCATCATATATTATCAAGCCAAAAAATTTTATTTAATAGATTTACATTAATTGGAAAAACCAATACATGAGTTAATTACTAAGAGTATTCACAAAACTTGACACAAAATCTACATATACATTTTGATGCTAATTATATATAAGATAGATTGCATGAGAGTCAAATTTGTATCTCAAATTGCAGATTTTTCTACATAAAATCTTCTCTATAGTGGCATTGTCTAAAGTTCAACTTAAAAATCTCACGACTTGAAGAATATATATAGCTTAAATTATATATGTTGTATACTAGTTTTATTGTTTGAACTATAGATACCAAAAAAAATCTAGTGCTAAGAGTGATAACTTAAACAATCATTTCTTGTTTTTGTATTTTTTATTACGTGTGCAAATCCATTGAAAAATTTAAATGGTTATTGAACCATTCAGAGTTTTGAATTTGCAAATGAGGTGAAATCACTTTACCAATGTTTTAGCATTGTATACCAATCTGTAACGATGTTAGTTACTTCTTTATGCAGATATTTTACTTGAATTCGATTGACAATATATGTGCACTTTGATATATTTATACATAGAGTTCCAAACACCAAAAATGAGTTAAATAAGTAGAAAATTTCACAATACTGAAGTGTGCAGGAAAAACCTTCAACGTGTATAAGGGTTTTTAAAGCAGGGTATTCCAATCCAATGTTTAGAAAATCTCTTGAACTATTTTTTGAGATCCCTTAAAACAAGATCAGAAATACCGGAAGTACTATGTGGAGTGATGCATGAGCCAGTAAGCAAATTACAGCGAGGATTGCATGCATTCAGTGGAGAGACAAGCGTGTATTTTGCTGGATTGCTCCGGAATTTGACGAGGTTGCATCAAGTGGAAGAATTGTTTTGGGTCATGGCGGATGCACCACGCTGTACAATTCGGGTCTCAACATATGAAAAGCAACAAATCAGCAAGTTGCAGTAAGTTGCACTCGGCGAGGATAGCCAGTGTGTTTGCGCTTGTGCCAGATGGGTTGATTGACCCACTGACTACTTTGAGCAGTTGGCACCGGGGGAGTGTGGCGGTCGAAACGAAATGACTTCCTTCCATGTTACCCACAATTTTGTCGCTTACTCGAGACAGCGATTCAGGATCTGATCGTCGTATCACAACGTCGCCACCCGCTGTGCTCGCTAATCAGCTCCAGCACTCAGCTGCGGGCTGTCGAATCCCTAGACCTGCTTCGTTGCCCACCATCGAGTCCGCAAAGAACTTAATATTATTACTGACACGCTGAAAGATCGGCGAGGAAAGGGGGCCATGCACATCTGTCCCGTCCTAATCATGCTCATGGGGTGGAAACTTTAACGGGTGCAATATTTTCCCACGAAAGAGAAGTAAGAAATATTTAGCACGCAGGATGGGAGGACTCATCAAGCCTTACGCGGATGAAACCGAAGAGTACGACGAAGGGTATCACTCGCTTTTAACGGGCATCAAGTAAGCAGTGGTAGCACGTGAGTAGTGCTCAACTCACATTGTCAGTTCCAGTCGCAAACAAATATTCTGGCTCGTAGCAGTGAAAGCCAAACAACTTTAAGCCCGACGGTGTTGTTCTAAATCCACGTCACATCCCGTTCTAGATTTTGTTTGAAATTTCACGTTGAAACATGAAAAGGTATGCCGTAAAAAAGGTATGCCACATCAAAATGTGATAATTTATCACATTTTGAGGCTTTGGTATTGACAGCATTTCTAGTGTAAAGTGTCCGCCCTGGAAAATGTTGACAACTACACAGGACCGTCCGACTGGTTATCGTGTAAATGGTTCGATCGGAACCCGGGATTCTGTCTAGTTTCGACAATCCAATGTCCTTTTCTTGTGTTTAAAATATGAACTTTAATGGAAATGTACCCATACTCTCTGAACAAAGCTGTGGAGTGTACAGCACGAACATTGGAGTGTATGTGGGGCTATTTTGCTGTATTCTGCGGCTATAAAGAGAACGTAAATAATTTTTTATTCACTGGGCGGGTCTGGATTCTGGAGTGGCCTCCGGTGGGCACATGGAAACGCAGAAAACCATCAAGGGTTTAGGGTTTAGGGTTTAAAGGCATCCTGCATGCCAGGGTCCTTCCGTCCCACACATCACATTGAAATGATGACAGGTAAGCGGAAGACAAGTGTGTAAAGTCATTGATTCCAGTGTAATCAGGTGGACAGTATCTTCTGCAAGGGTTTTGAAGGTCCCCGTCGGACGATTCGGTTAGACAGAAATATTCCGCTACATTTCCCAATCAGGGAATCACACCTACTGTAGGTGCCTGCCGAAAAGCCACGTAGTTTCGACCACTCAGGAGATTTGTCTAAAGATCTGTCAAAAGAAACCCGGGCAATTTGTTTCAGGCTAGTGCTCGAAACTAAGCTCTAGCAACTAGTTTCTTCCTTCACCGGCAGTTTAACAAAGTATCCAGACGTGTCCTCCACACCTGTCACATGGACTCTTCGGTTCAACAACGCATCTACGTCTCGTTCTTTGAGAGGGCAAAATGTTGATTTCTCGGTTCATCGAAACAAGACAGGACAGTGACTACAGTAGACCGCTGCTGAAGACTGTTCCCAGTTGAAGATTGAGAAGTAAGTCTTGATACAGACCGATAAAAAACACATGTTGAACCACTTCAATTCTCGATAAAATACATCCATCGAACAAGCAATGTACAAATACCGTGGCAACCGACCATTCCTAGTCACTCGATAGATCATCATTCAATTATGGTGCATGCAAGAATAAACAGCGAGTCTCACCTGCACATGTTAAGATGCATAGCCTTCGACTGGAGTCTGGCAGGAAGCAAACAAATTAGAGATGCTTTTAAAAGACGGACAATACTGGAAGATAATAACTTAGGCAAAGTGCAAGTGATTCCTGCCCTAAACAATCTGAAGAGTTCACATCTGGACAGACGCCAAAGGCCAAGCACGAAGTGCCATTGTCCTTGCTTCTGCAAAGCTCCTCTGCTCAAGAGGCTAGCTAAGGAGTTTCACATAGACACTTGAGATCACTGGTCAGGCCAAATATGTGCACATTACTTGAAATATTCACTCAACTTCTTTAGCCTTCACATCTCCTGAGAGAGCAAAACCCACATTTTGACAAAGAGCGCTTCAGCAGGTTTTAGGCATGCACTGTCTGAATTTAATCAACCGTGTACTGCCCCAGCAGCCAATCTGATGACAAGTCCTGGAACGAAACTGCCACCTACTCCACCCGCCACAATGAGTGTGCGTGAACGGATAGCACACCGGCAATTGAATGGTGAATCGAACAGTTTTTGAGGGGTTCGGAAGAAGGAAAACAAGAAGTCATTTGCGAACAAGCTGGCCACACTCTGATACGACCAGGTTCAAGCTCCTACTATCTGTTACTGTGGCTCTTGTTCAAAGATATCTCCCTTTCTTACTGTAAACCCTTTCCTAATCAATCTAAGTGTTTTGATTTGTATCATAGAACTTCATCTCGACTCATCCACCATTTCAGTTTCAGAAGTCCTCCAAAAATGGAACCTTGCCAATGACTCAAACGCCACAAAATGTAAATCAACCACACAACTTATTTGAACCGTGTGACCACTCCACCAGCTTACATCCCACGTGCGACATTGGTCGCCAACGGCACCCCACGGGTCCGTGCCGAAAACCTTCCTCTACTGACTGGAGAAACTCTAAAACAAGGACAGGGCCTGAATCTCGATGGTTGGTGCTCAGCTACAGCCATTTCCACGACGAGGTGTAACCACTTACTTGGCACCGGCAGGAAGCTTCCGTAGAAACGGCATTCTCTGGGTAAGACTAAAAAAGAAATTCAAAAGGGGTTGTGACAGGCCTGCTACAGCTTCCTCACGCATCTGATATCTGCCATACTTTACGTCACCACTATCTGTACCTGGGAGGTGAGCCATCAACTCCTTGCAAGATTCAAGTCCCTTCCGGCCGCTCGCAAGCTTCTCGCAGACAACTGTTCGCGCGACTGCACGTCACCGACAGTATATGGTTTGATCTACCTGAGGAGGTATAGGCTTGATTTCTGTACCCAGCTCCTGCTCAATCCTGTACAAATTGAAACGGTCCTCATATGTAATCAGATTTACAGCTAGACCAAGGTGACCGAACCTGCCAGAACGCCCCACCCTGTGCAGATACGTTTCTGAGTTTTTGGGAAAGTCAAAGTTGATCACCACATTCACGGCCTGAATGTCGATTCCCCTAGTAAAAAGATCTGATGAGACCAAGTTCCTGCATGCTCCATTTCTGAAATCGTGGAACACTCTATTTCGGTGAGACTGGAGCATCTTCGCATGGACATAGAAACATGAATATCCCAGCTCAGTAATTTTCTTTGCTAGAAGCTCAACCCGGTTAACAGAATTGCAGAAAATGATGGACTGGTTGATTTGTAGCTTCGAAAATAGAGTGCTCAGACAGTGAACCTTCTGCCTTTCCTCCACAAACGCATAAAACTGTGTAATTCCCTTCAATGTCAACTCATCCATGAGGTTGATGACATAGGGTTTCCTCAGGAACCTGTCCTTGAAAGACTTCACGGTAACTGGAAAAGTCGCTGAATAGAGTAGAGTCTGGCGGTTGTCGGGGAGGAACGCGATCAACTGCTCGACTAGAGGCTGAAACTCTGGGGAGAGCAGCTTGTCCGCCTCATCCATGACTAACATGGTGCATTCTCCCAAGTTGCAAACACCTTTCCTGGCCAGGTCGAGCACCCTTCCGGGTGTACCGACCAGTAAATGCACGGGTTGGTAGAGCCGCATGATATCATCCTTCAAACTCGTACCACCCGTAGTTACCATAACCTGTATGTGCAAGTGCTTAGCCAGCTCTTTGCACACTTGCGAGGTCTGAAGAGCAAGTTCTCTGGTGGGGACCAGTATCAGAACTTGGATAGCATTCTTGTTTTGGTCAATCTTTTCGATGGCAGGAATGCAAAAGGCAGCCGTCTTGCCAGTTCCATTCTTGGCCCTGGCCAAAATATCGCTTCCGGTCAATGCGATTGGAATGCTTTCTTCCTGGATGGGCGAAGGCCGTTCGAAGCCTTTCTCGTAGATTCCCATGAGCAGCTCTCGCTTCAGAAAGTAATCCTCGAACTCGTTTCCTTTGGTGGCAGTCACATCTTCAGTCCTGTAGCGAGAATCCGTCGGTGGAAGCTTAAGCTGAGCTTTCCAATCTTGTAAGCTCGAGTTGCCTTGTGCCAAATGTCCACCCTGGCCTCCATCTGCCGACGGGGCCGCTGAAGTAGAGACATTGGCCTGCGCTTGTGACAAGGCCAGATGCTGACCAGATAACTGAGATTGCTGCTGGTTTTGTTGCTGCTGCTGCTGCTGTTGCTGCTGTTGCTGCTGCTGTTGCTGCTGCTGCTGCAGTTGCTGTTGGTGATTGTTTTGATGTATCGCCCGTTGAGTGTGAGGCTGGTATGGTTGGTATGAGCCTCCAGATTGGCCCCTTCCATGAGAGCCACCTCCTCCCAAAGGCCTCGGTTGATAATGCTGTTGTGCACCTCGCGAATACACCATCTTCGACGACTTCCTGTACTAACAACCTAACTTTTTAGCAAGGTGATTCGAATTTCGAAACCGCGTGGGAAACTTGGGTCCTAAGGAAGGATGAAAAGTTGAAAGTAGGCAGAAGAAACCTAGATCTGAGAAAGCAAGCTGAGACTCAGAATCTTCTTGAAGGAGACGTGGTGGAGCAATGCATCTGCAACTTGGTTCTCCATCAAAGTGCTCGTAGAGAACGTCTCCTCCTTCTCAGCCAGGAAATTAGGGTTTGAGCCACGACCCCGGTCACTTTCCCTCCTCTTCTTTGACACAAGCACTGAAACTCATCACACACCACGAGCCTCCGAAAGAACGAGCCTCGTCTTCCTCTTCGTCTGGGAGCCCGATCCCGAATACCCGGGATACCTCCAACCTAGAACGCACCAGCATACGCTCCCTCCGTCCTCATGCTTCACTCTATTTTTGATTGTTTTTCACTCAATTCCCATCTCAATCGCTCTCCTCGCCTCACTAGCCTCTCGCGCGTCCACTCTCGCCTATCCTCTCTAACGGTTCCTCATCTTCTCAGACCTACACCGATCTCTCTTGCGCATCTCTCCTCCCGTCCGACTCTACCATCTCTCCCTCCTCATCGATCAGTACCCTTGCCCTTCTCCATCCTTACGACCGCCCGCCCTCCCGACCGCGAGTCTGCACCACCTCGGCAGCGGGGCACCACCGCACCACCTCGAGCCCGCCCAACGCCCGGCGTTGCCCACTCGCTCGACTCGGGCTCTCTAATCTGCGCTGCCTCGCTCACGGCTCGTCACTCGTACTCGTCTCGTTCGGCCTCCCTCCCTCCCTCCACCTCCTCCTCCTGCTCGTGCCCGCACAATGGAAATGACCCTCTCCTTCGCTTAATGTCGTTCGTTGGCCCTTCTGCTCGCTCCCCCTCGCCTCTGTCTCCACTCGATTCCTCCTCCTCCTCCTCCTCCTCTTCTTCCTTCCTGCCTTCCCTTCCTTCCTTCTCCGCCTGTGCTCCCCTTTCTCTGCTCCTCCTCCGCTCTCTTTACCTCCCCCACCACCATCGCCTGTCTCCCTCTCTGCTCTTCTGTCTCCCCGTCTTCTCTCCCGGAGTCCCCACTTTGCTTCTTCCCTCCTCCTCCTCCTCGTCCCTCCCCCCTCCCCTCACCTCGACCCCTGCCTGCCTGCCTGCCTTCCTTCCTTCCTTCCTTCCAGTCCATCGCCCCGGCCTGCCCTGCCCTGCCCCGCCTTCGGTGGGCTTGGCTGGCACTCCCGCCCGGCTGGCCGCCTCGGCGAGCGAGCGGACGGACCGACCCCGACTCCCCGACCCTACCAGCGATCTGGGCAGCCTCGGAGGCGATGGACGCAAGGGGTGCAGGGCAGGGCAGTGCAGCGACTGCAGTCCCCGCCCCGAGAACAAAACAAAAGCCCCGGCGCCGACCTCTGCCGAGACCTAATGCCTCGCCCCTAGCGGTCCTCGCTTCGGTCCTCCGGCTCTCGAAGGCGCGAGGCGAGTTCGAGCGATTTCGTGGATATGGCGGGGAGGATTCTATCCTCAGACGCCGCGACGCGCATCCAGATGGCGGGCACAGTATATACCTGACCGGCGGGTCGATGCAGACTTTCCGTCTGATGGTCTGTTTATCCCCAGGGAGTTTCTGGTGTTTGAATGCTCGTCTCCGCTAGGGTTCTTCTTCTTGCCTGCCTCTGTTCCGGTGAGAGCGACGGACGGCCTGCTCCGCGATTGCGTCCCCGACCCAGCGAGCTCCCGGCGACTTTCCGTTCGGGACTCGGATAAAGATGCGCATATGCCGCGTGCCAGTGAGGTGAGCTGCGGACTTTCAAATTTCTCCGTCGCCTCTCGCCGTCCGTCACCTTGCTTCTCCAGCCCAGACCAGCCCTTCGGGTTAGGTCAGACATTTCGGCGTCCGCTGCTTCCCCCCCCCCCCCCCCCCCCCTTCCCCCCCTCCCCACCATTGCAGGCCAGGCAGCCTGGAAGCTTTCATTCTCCGCAGAACGTGTCTTGTTTCCACGAAACGTGTTTTGGTGCACCATTGAAAACTCCTCGCTCAAGCTATCAGACGCAACACCGGCCATGATTTACAATTCTATAAAGTTCCCAGCGATCACTTTCAGAACTGTAATTTAGCACGTTATATTCCCCGGGACATGCCCTGACATCCTTTACCAACGAAGACCCTGGCTGGCTCTCTATGAAGAAGAACCAGAACGGGCCGTTGGCACAGCTCACGTCGATAACCAAGTTCGGCCGCGATTCAGCTGACCGTAAGTTTGTACGTGTTTACGTCTACATTTTACGTAATCTGCAGCATTCAGCCACAGTTCAATGTATCCTCCTGTCAATAGTTGTCCTTAAAGAAATTGCTTGAAAACATGAGTATTCTAGTTGACTTTATTTAGGTACAAACCTATAGCGCTACCTAGCACGTTTGTATTCCTTCGACCTTTTCCTCTACTGGCGTTTGCAAAACCTTCTAGTTCGTTCGTCAATCAGGTTGGTCATATTTCTTCGCGTGACCCGGAAGATTCACTTTCCACATAGGATTATACAACAACCATCAGCAAAGTTGAATTTTGCTTTTTGAAGCTTAGGATCTCTGTGCATACCGATGAAAGAAAACGTAAACATGCGTCTTTATGATATTAGTGCAAAAGGTAGAGAGATTAAACATCATGAGGAAGTGATATGGAAGATGATGAAAGATAGGCTTGTACACACAGTAGTACAGTACCTCGGATCCTTAGCATAGTGCCATATGGAGAAATGTTGATAGAAGGCCGAATGCGGATGAAATTATATCGATGCGTGCTCAAATCCAATGTTTGTTAATTCTGGAACTGTCGATTATCACGTTCGCTCACGAGTCTACAGGGAAAGTGGGCTACGAAGTGGATTACAACCACTCTATAGTAGAATACACGATTATCTCCCCTGCCAAGCATCTACAAGTAGTCACTAACATCTACGAAGAGATTTGTGGTGGAGTGAATTGATAAGCTTTAGGGTTGGGAAATGAGAGGGGAGAGTAGTTTATGGAAACGTGAGTAGTGTGTTGCTTTGTCTTCGGATTAGGGTTTGGAGCGATAGGCGAGATTAATTTGGACAATGTTACAGTACTAGTTTCTTAATCAATGTGAGTCCAGACTTTGCTGAAGTTCAAAATGAATACACGTTTTTCTCAGTTTCTACACCCTTAAACTAAACGAAGTTCAATAGGTATCGAAATTGATAGAAATTTTAGTGAAATTGCCGTCTTAGATAAATTTCATTGACTTTTTTGAAATCCTATACATCGATAGGGCTTTTTTTCATCTATTTCCTGAGATGATTTCCATTAATTTTTACTTTAAATAGATGACAAATCTGTATTCCATCGTGATTTCTTTTCCCTGAATTCTATCTGATGTTAACTTCACCTCTTGTGAGTCGGTGTGTTTGGAGAGTGTGGTGTTGCATGTGACAGGAGATGTTCACATGTGATGATATTGCAACATACAGTTCTAAAGAAAAACGGTTCTAATGTAAAATATATGATTTCGAAAATTATACTTCTGAAATCATATATGTTACATTTATTTATATTTTGATTTTCTTTGAATGCCAACGTTATTTGTTTATATGAATTGCATTTAATATGATCGACTTTTTTTTTATCAATATGTACTCTATCATGTCATCATTAACTCTTCCAATTATTTTTATATAGAAAGATAGATAAGTTTTTTTGAATGTGCTCAAATTCAATCTGGAAAACAACAATATACTACATCACATCTATTAGATTCTTAATACTTTGAATTGAAGACATCGTGTATATTATTTTCAATATAGACATTATAGATATGCATATGTATTTAATAACATTAAATGCATATGATTAATATTAAATTATAACATAAATATTTTTTCATGAAGTTAACTACATCCTAAAGTCTAGTATTTTTTTAACACAATTTATGAAACAATTTTATCTTATATCATATAATTATATTTATTAATGAATATGTATTGATCCATGTTACTTTTTTTAACCACAATTTATTATAACTAATCGTACAAATTATTTGTTCACTATATACTGTATTTGCCAATCTAATCACTCATCATCAAAAATTTCTATTATTGAAAAATCTTGTATATTAATTATTTTTATATTATACAAGTTGTCATCAAAGAAACATTCAAAATATATATACTTTAGTAGAAATCTCTTAAACCTTTTTAAATAACGTACAAATGTGACAGCAATCTTGTATTACTTGCAGATTTATTGGTGTTTTTTTTTCTATTAAGAATTTTCCCCATTTCAACATTCAAAAGTTGATTTCAACCATGGCATTGTTTGGATATTGAGACCGTAACAACTCAAATAACTCTATAATGTGAGCATATATATATATATATATATATGTATATTTATTTATTTAGTTAGTTAATGCCTAAAATATTTCAAATCTCAATATGCTCAAAAAGTCAATAAAACGGTTTAAGTCATTGCGAGTTCATTGTTTATGATTCGCGATGACCAAAACTACTTGAGTTGTTTCATTATTTGATCTATGATGTTTTTTTGTTATAAAACCATCAAATTGATACTGATAATTCATGTTTATTTGAACATTTTATGGATTCAACGTAGTAAGTTCTTGAGGTAACCTTGGCATCAAAATGTTGAAACTTGCATGATTGAGCTCATGTTATGTGGCTTTGATTTTGTTCAAATTGCACATGATTTTTTAAAAAAATTCATCAAACTCATGCAAAACTTCAAATCTTGACTATGAATTTAGTAGTGCCAACTATTCAATAGTAAAAAGTACTTGATCTTGAATTAATTTGATCAAGTTGACATGATTAACAACCACATGCAAAACTTCAAATCTTGACTATGAATCCAGTTTCTGCAAACAATTAAGTAGCAAATAGCAATTGATTTTGAATTTGACCTATCAAATCAGCATGATTCACATGAAATTGTTCAAAAGTATTAAACTATTGGATTGAGTTGAGCTTATCAAAAAGTCGTTTTATGAATGCAAATCGTTATAAATTAACGAGCACATATTGGAAAAATAACTATTGCAGCATCAATTAGTTTCTTTGTACTTACAAAACTTCAACATATATGCAAACATGATTTAAAATTGTATTTCCAACTGCAACCAAAATCTATCAAGACAGTGTGGACATCATGTAAAATTGTTAAGAAACATAAGTCAAATAAAAAATTAGCCATGATTTCACATCATCTCTTTACAAAAAATTGTAGTACATACAACATTGAGTCTCCACTAGTAGTGAACAAATTCAAAATAAAAGTTTGAATTTTGTCAATCAATATTTTCCCAGTCAAATCAATGAGTTAAGATTCTTACCAAATTCAAAGCTAGCAATTTCATACACTCACTTCATCATAATATCAATCTGCAACAAACACAAAACACCATTGTTTCACGACTTGTTTGAATACACATGAAATATGAATGCACTATCATTTGATTATCCAATTAGTTTAAACTTTCATAAAATACAAACTACATCAAAAAGCCTTAAAAACATCTTGAACATGATCAATCAATAAATATGTATACATGATAAGATGGAGATTTTTAAGAGATGATTTTTTATAGATTAAAAAATTGAAATTTAACCCAAGATATTTTCTTCAAATCATGAATTGCATAAAAAGCCATATAAAATGTTCATTTGAACTACAATTTTTTTTCAAAATTTTTAATAAATGAAACTCATATTATTGAAACATAGTTAATAATTAGATAATCACTATAAAACCTCTATTTGACAATGTCATAGATTTTTTTGACATCAGTTGTCATAGAAAAGACAATTTTTGGCAAAAAAATTTATTACCAACTTGAATTGCTTTGTTCGACTAATTTGAATGTTTTATTATGTCTGCTTGTTGAATCAAATTGGAGCATTTTGCCAATAATCATGTTAACAATTGATACTCTGATGACAAAAATCATCATAATAAATTGATTTTTCATAAAATGACAAAAAGGTTTGTCATGTTTTGAGAAAAACATCAAAATATTTTGATTTCTACTTTAATGATAGCTTTTGATATTTTTTCATCTAGTTTGATAGTTGATGCAAAGATGTTGAGTGTAGTTATCTATTCTAAAAGTAATCTTCAAATGAGCAAGATGTTTATAATTTGTAGGTAATACATATGAAATATATATAGAATTGTGCAAATAACAACAATTATTGAAGTATTGAGTATCATGACATGAAATGAGTACATCATATTGTAAAAGATGTTTTGGTTGAATTGTCATCTTTAACATTTCAATTGTGTTTGTACGTTTTGTAGCAAATGATAAGAAATATAGATAAATTAGAGTATTAAATTGCGTGATGGATCCACAAAGTGATTAAAAATATAGATAAACTATAGTATTAAATTGC